ATAGACCTGACGTATATAGACCTGACGGTACGAAAAATTCCATTCAATTTAAAGCAGATAAGAGTTTTGATCGGATAAAAAACGCAAGTCCAATTCATTAATAACTGGATCGAATATTGATAAATTTAGCAGAATATATAATGTCAACCGCTATCAAAGTGATGTCACTATCACTGCCAATCAGGCAAATAATTCAAATTGTTCCAATTGCTGAGTCAGTAATTTTGATAATGATAAATTCTTAATAGTGAATAAACCTAAATTATTATTGTAAGTAAGCCAAATATAAATATACCATCAAGATCATCTCTAAAAGTGGTTGAAAATCCTGGCAAATTATCCATTTCTTGCTTATTGAAGTGGTCAGGAAATGCTTCCTATAATAAGATTGTAAAAGATTGTAAAAGATTTAAAAAGATATTTCTTCAAGATCCGGAAATGTTTTATCATTTCAGAATATTAATATTACTTTAAGTTGTCTGGTGGCATTGGTTGTTGGTGCTACACTCATGAATCTTCCATCACCAAAACCTTGACGTAATAGCATATTGCATTCACGTGCTAACGTACGAGGTGATCGGAATGTTTGACATTTTTTTTTCATACAACGATATGCTGGATATTCCTAAAAAAAAAAAGAAATCAAAGGAAATCTTTGCACACTACATTCATGCAGTTCTCTATATTAATTAATAATCTTCTCATTTTGTTTTGTAATCTATACGTCAATGATCTTTATAAAAGATCGAATGGTTTTTAAAATAAACTTTTAATTGATCTTTACTTTTTCATCAATAATTTTCTAATTTTAAGCTAAATTTTACAAATAACGAATCATTTTCTAATATTATGCATTATTAACCTTTACAGTATTGAGATATTTTACGCGACGCATGAAAAATTTCATCGATGAGCCACAACGATGGCATGGTATGCATTTTTTAGTGCACATCAATTGCAGATCATCAGCAGGATCTATACGACGTATCGTATTTTCTTCCAGTTGTCCTCAACAGTATTCTCATTCAGTTGTATTATTTAAATTTTTTACTTAGCAATTAAATTTAAGTTAATAAGTATTTCAATCTCTTAAATATTATAGCACGATATTGACAAAATATTATTGTACACTGAATAATAATACAATTTCCAATCATAAATATCCATATAATTTTGAAAATGTCCTAAAGATTAAATTAAATTCTGAAAAAAAAACAAGTATAATGGATGAAATGATATTTTACTCTAAATGAAATAATCTGATATATCGTAGTAATAATTCTGGCATCATTTCTGGCATCTCGGAATATATTCCAATAATAATAGTATTCAGATAATAGGTTGTAAATTCGAATATAAATTACGATGCTTGCAATAATTTCAATATCCAAAAATAACTTTTTAATAGACGGTATGCAATGTATAATACAATTGCATACTAATAATTATTGCCCTGTATTAGCTCTTATATGCTATATTAAAAGATATCAGATATTAAGTATATTGTAAAAATATCCTTGTTAACTTAACTGTCAACCGTAAACTATGTCATCATTTCTCTCGAAATATATTCTACTAGTAATTGTATTTAGATAATAGATTTCAAGTATGAATATAAGTTATAATGTTTATAATAATTTTATGCCATCCATTCATACGTACAATATCTTCAACATATATTGTTCGAGCACGTAAAGCACGAGATATTGATAATGAATATTCAAATTATGGAAAAAGTAAAGAGAGATAGCAAAATATGCAATCATCTAGGTTGCCGGATTGCTGAAAATAGCCTAATAAAGTCTTATTTATCATTCAATCGATAAATATCATGCATCACGCATTTATAGCAAATTAATCGATATCAAATATATTATATTGAATGATAAGATATGGCATAAATGTGATAAAAATTTGATAATAAGCTTTTCCAAATATCGCACATTCAAAGTAGTTTTATAATAAAATAAGCTAAACAAAACCTTTAAATGATAATAGTTGAGTTGAGGATGATGATATTGGATTGATTGCAGTTGTACTAATAACAGCAGATGAAACAACATCCATTTCTTCATTTTTTAGGGAAAGTTTTATCATTGGAATTTCTTTGCAAGCAACGAGAACCATTAATTTCTTCCTAAAATGAAACGAAAAAAACTTTTTTAAAATTACTTATTTACTTCCGAAATGATACATTGATATGTTTTTCTTTAACCTGGAAAAGTTCAAAATTAGGTTGAGCAGTGTGGAATTAGTTAATATAATTATTGAGTAAATAAACTAATTAATTAATTCGATTGTTGTTAAGTAATTACTACAAAAAAATATCAATAAGTAAATGCATATTTTGCGCAAAATTAAAACTATTTTAACGAAGTTAAACAATGAATTTATCGTTTCATTAGTATGATGTTTCACTTCTTTCATTTATCATTATGATAATTCTATATCTTACCATAATTTCTTGCTTGATAACCTGTATCACACCTTGTCTTCCCATTATTTTACTGTATCCATTCGAATATTAGCCATCGCTTTATTCCGAGTTTACTTTGCCACTGAAATTTTAAACAATTTAAATGTCATTTTAAGCTTTTCAATCAACTGTTGCATTAAAAAGATATCATAAAAAAGCGATCATTAGAAAATCGTTTAGAAAATAATGGATAAACATGATATTTCAGGGGTAAGATGCAGAAATAACCGATGGAAGTAACAAAGTAAATTAATTGTAAGTTATTTAGTGGCAAGATAGCTGTAAATTGATTTTAATTTTAATTGAAATAAAGTACTCTTATCTAACTTTGACCTTCGACCTTTTCCAGGCTAGATTTCTAGGTCTCTTTTGATGAACTTCCTACAATTTATCAAATATGAAATAATGGATGGTACTACTTACAAATTAATTTTGTCAAAAAACTTTATCACTTAGCTTTTTTAACAAAAATTTTTCGTTTTTTTTTTCAGGACTTTTTAAAATATTCTAATACAATTAAACTAACTAATTTAGGAAATAAGCTAACAGAAAATATATTCGAATAGATTAGCTAATTAATCAATATCTTATATATTATCATATTTAGGCATCTATAAAGAGTGAAGGAAAAAATGATGTCTATTTGGGGAGGGGGGGAGGAATCCTTCTCTAAGAAAGCAACACCTCTTGATAATCGACAAAACTGCTCAACTGGATAAAGATGATTCTAGACTATCTTACTGTCTAAATGTATTATACCTCTATCTATGCCTATACCTATGTCTATACTCATACCTATATATATATACATATATATATGTATATATATATATATATATGCATATAGAGGAGGGATGATACAATGAATGTAAGTTAGGCAACAAAATAATTGACTGAGAATATATTGTTAATGATGATATAAATAATATACAAACACATACATACAAAAAAAAAAGCAATTACTTAACAAAAAAAAAAAAATACTTATTCTCACGTAAGTGATACGTGACAAAAACAACATTTATTTTTTTCCATATCTTTTAAAAAATTTAAAACTTTATATGTTACTTGAAAAGATTTTTGCCATTTAATTAATATAATTTTAAACATATTTGTTATATTTAAATAATACTAAATAGTATTAAATGGTTGAAAATATTACCAAATTAAAATTAAATTTTATTTGCTTAAAATTTTTTTGACTTATAGAGAAAACGAAAAGAGGCGAAAAAGATAGGAAAAGACATTATGATGACAAATTGATGACAAAATGACAATGACGACAAACAAATCATGTTTTTTTTTCTGCATACAGTAGAAGAATTTCAAATAAATTTTATGAAATATTTGTTTATTTGAATAAATTTGCATTCATCTATGATGATATAGATAAGAAAGTAGAAGTTAACATTTACTATATTTTTATTCTTATCATAGCTGTTTGTTTGCACGTCCGGTTTTTAAAAGAACTAAATGAGTAGAAGAAATACGGTGGATTTTGTTAATTTGAAATCTATTCCGGAATTCTTTTCGAATTTAATTCATCCTGTTTATCATTGAGATTTTCGTAAATTGAAATAAGCATTACTCAGTTTATTAATTGACAAATTTAAAGAAGCATGATTGATAAAGTAAATGAAATTTGTTTTGATTTAAACCAGTTATTAACTTGTTGAAAACTCTAATTAAGTTTTAGCTAAGATTGACAAAACAAGTAAAAAAATATTGATTGATCAAAAACAGGTAAAAGTTGTACTGGTTGATTAACTACAAATAGGAATATGTTAATCAATTAATTAAAGGTCAAAATGTATTGATTGATTAACTATAATCAAAGATACATTGATTTATTAATTATAGGTAGAAATGTAGCGATTAATTAATTACATTAAGTGGATAGTTTTATATGTATGTATAAAGTGAAATATAAAATGAATATAATGGAATTAGGATTTATATTCTAGGAATGATTTAGTATTTCCCTTTATGAAAACTGTCCAAAAATAAATAAGAATTTTATGTAGGTAATTTCAACGCACCTGTTTTATGTAAATATATCCTGTTTCATATAAGTTTTTTCCACAAAAAGTTTTAATTAATGAAGTAAATTTTAGGATGAAAGATTGGGAAAAAATCAAGGTATTTATCGAAATGCTAAAAAAATCAAGCATAGAAGTTATCGAAAAAAGAGTAATAAGGTTAGTGAAATTGAATTAATTCTTATTTAAGATTTGCATAATTCGTTGTATCAGATTTACAGTATAAGTTCATCCATTTGTACATTTTTCTGATATTCCGATATTAAAATACCGATATTACAATCATAAGGACGAGTAAAATATTTCCGATTTTTAACAGAATAATGGACCACTGCATTTGGTACATACACCTTGCAGTAGCAATCGTTTCAGGTATTTTTCATTATGTATTCTAACAAAAAAAAAATTAATCTGATAATAATTAAATTTTATTTAATCTCTACCTATATCCTTTTATACCTTATACCGAGTACCTGATATTGCAATGCGTAAAAAATGAGTTAATTGTATCATACAAGATTATACAATGTGCGCATTTTACATTTCCATTAGTTATAATAATAAACACTTTTTGAAATTATTCATTTCTTCTTTCAGTATTTTCGTTTTGTTATTCTTTTTTTTTTAAATATTAAAATTGACTAATTTCATTGAATATTTTAAAAAATTTTTATGAAAACTTTCTTATCATTATTTTACAACAAATATTTGTTATTTCAAATAACTTTTAAATGTTAAAAGTTTTATTTTATGCAAGTAAAATTATAGAGGACAACATTTGACAAAAATAAAACATCGAACAGCAAATTCTTTTCCGGATCGGCGACAACTTACATCAAATTTTGAAGGATCTCTTTCTGAAACAACAATTCTTTCCACTGTTACTGTAATTTACTTTTCACTTCAAAAGATATAGTTCACATATATATGTGTAAAAATATATTTTTGTTTTAATGGAAATGTTTAATTTGAAAATTTCACATGCACTTTTTTTTAAAAAACGGAATAATATACTTTTCTAACATTAACTTCTAAAGTGAATGAATTCTTCATTTTTCATTGAATTACAACGATTATTTAAATGGTATTAATTAGAAATTTGTATGAGAGCTTATATTTATCTTTTTTGTCATACTTTAGTTTACACCAAAATTGATACGTTCCTTTTTATTTGTTAATTAAAAAATTATTTTACTTAGGGACGTGATGAAACGGAAACTGCGGATAGTCCATCTACAAGGTTTGCAAATTTTAATCATTTATTAGGGGAGATTATTCGTGTTATTATTATTATTATTATTATTATTGCTATTATTATTATTATTGCTATTATTATTTTTAGTATTATTATTATTATTACTATTATTATTATTGCTATTATTACTATTATTATTGTTATTATTATCATTATTATTATTATTATTATTATCATTATTATTATTATTATTATTATTATTATTATTATTATTATTATTATTATTATTATTCTATTATTATT